CGGCCAAGTCACGAGCCGGGCGCGGAGGCTTCCAGGCCTGGCTACACCCTCCCCCCCCCCAAACACTGTATGTGTGTCATTTAAAAAGAGGTGCTATTTTGATTCTCCTTTTGATTTCAGGTCTAAAAAAATGCAGGCTTGACTTAAGAGGGATTTTCTTCATTCAGACCGAGTCTCGCCCAGTGTGTAGCTCTTGCACGGCCAGTGTCCCCTGCCTACGAGTTTTTTTGCGAATATTCACCATGTGGCACCTCGCAGGAATTTTCCTACTGTAATTCACTGAATGCTGTTCAGATAAATGGGTCTTAAGACAATAAATTCTAATTGCAGCGGGCGGAGGGGAGCAAGAGAGGGGGTGTTTGCCCAGTGCCCAGTGGTGCAGCGCCCCCTGCTGTATGTAAATGGTGTACTTGCACGGGTTAATCTCAGAAATCTGGGGAATGCTGGTTGTGTGGTAATGGTGGAACAGGCGCTGGGGGGTGGTGTTCGGGGGGGGTATCAACATGAGGATGAAGCAGAGGGCGGAAAACACAGAATCAGGGGAGGTACAACTGACTTCTCAGTTTTTCCATCCTCGTATTTCCATCTGCCCAGAGTGTCTGTACAATGTGGAGACGAAGACCATTTCTGTGGATTTTGGGTCCTTAGACGTGTATCGCACTATCGAAAGCGGATTGGCTGGCCTGGAGATCGGAGTCTTGGGTGAGGAGTCGTCTGGAATGGGAACTGCCCCCCCCCCCCAATTCTTCCCTTTTGTTCCATCGCTTTCCCCCTATTGGCCCCTGGCAGGCCACCTACACCTTTATTTAATTTGGGATTAATCAAGAAAAACACTGTTCTGCCCAAACTGAATCTCCTCAGGAAATGGGCAGTGATCTGGCACTGTAAAGCCAGTCTTCAGCCCTAAGTTTGTGTGTGTGAGTGTGTGTGAGTGTGTGTGCCCCTCTGCTATATATTGCTTTGCCTTTCAAGTCCCATTTTTGCCAGTGCTGTGTGTTCCATGTGTGAGTTGCCAAGCATTAAGTGTCCCTCCACCACCACTGATTACTGAGCATTTGCTGCCACCTGCTGGCGATCAGAACTTCGTATTCTACGCGCAACAACGCTCCCAAGAACAGAAACATTTTATTTTTCCTCCTTAGTGAACAACGTTGGAATCTCCTATTACTACCCTGAGTTCTTCCTTAACATCCAGCATTTAGAAAGTGTGAGTTTTGATGTTTTTTTTCTCTCTCTCTTATTACATTTGGCTGTGTTTAGTTGTGCTTTTGCAGTCTCTATAAAGGTATATTATTGGCCAAAGAGATCATATTAAACTAATGCAGTAATTCAGATTATATGTTTATTTTTTTTTGCGTGTCATTTTTGTTTTCCATGAGTGTCACTTCTTTTCTTTTCCGTTTCAGTTCATCAACACCATGATAAACGTCAACATCTCGTCAGTCTGCCAGGTTGGTGCATGTTAGTTAATGAATCTGCATTCACTGCACTGACTGTTGGAGATACGGCTTCGTAGAGATATGATTGATGGGAGCCGCACTGTTCTCCAGCGCTGGGAGTGGGAGGGGCCTGAAGTGTGCCCCCCCCCCACCTCTGTTGTACCCACAATTTCTCTGGTTCCCAAAGCAACGGCAAACTACACCCCCACGATTTGCTATCCTCCACCCACGCAGATCTTCTCTTCATTTCCCCCTCTCTGCCTCTCCCCTTTCCTTGGCATCTAAACCCCCCCCCCCCCCCCCCCCCCCCCGCACATACACACAAACATCATAGCTCGTAGCGGCTGGTACGCCGGAGGCGTGGGAGGGGGTAGCATGGCAGTTTCCGCACCACCCCCCCTCTTCTTCCTTTGTTTCTCATTGGCTTATTCTGACTTGCAGTTCCAGTTATCTTTCTCTCGCATCTCCTCGTTTTTCTGAATGGGAGCACTGGAATTACAGGCTGGGCTGGCTGAATGGGAAACTGGTAGTGGCAGTTAGGAGCTGGTGGAGGGGCCTCCCCATTCCAGCACTGGCCAGCTGATAGGTGCTGGTGATGGGGATGTCAGTCTCCACATTGAGGTACTGATTTGTAGGGTCGGCCAGCGGTGGCACTATGCACGGTTTGTCTGGATAGGGCGTCGGCGGCTACAGGCAGAAATGGCGCCATTTTAATGGTAATCCCTGGTTTTGCAGCCGCCCCAAGTTCTGGGCTCTTGACGTCAGCTGAAGCGATGCCATTGGATGGGGATCTGCAGCTACCCAGTGTGTCGTTTCCATTGTCGTGCCTGTAGCCCAGTGAGGGGGGGGGGGGGGGGGGGGGGGGGGGGGGGGGGGGGGGGGGGAAGGGCACCACAAGGTGGGGCAAATATGGTCTGCAGCAGCAGGCTGGTTTTCAGTGGCTGTTTTTTGCAGGCAAAAAAAAAAAGGAAGGCAGAGGGNTTTTAACTTTTTGACATGTCACCTCCCCACCCCCCCCGGACCTCCACAGCAGGCTGTCTGTGTGTTCATCGCAGTGGAAATGGTATTGAGTAACCGATTTTAACTGCGTAAATCTGCATGCTGCCCGCTATGTGTACATGTAGAATTAAACGTGATTATTCCGCACAACATTTAAAAATGCTTTGGGTTAAAAAACAATCAGCGATGTGGAATGAAAGGGGTCACACCTGTAGCATCAGGTGGCTAAATTCATTCCCTATCCTCACTTCTGGAAGAGTTTGGTGTGGATTTTTCATTATAATGCACATGAAGTGGATTACCTGAAATGTAAAGTGTATTTCACACAAGACGCACGATTAACGGGGGGGTTTCCGGGGAGTTTAATGGGAAGTGAAGATTTGTGAATTCTATATAGCCCCTCTTAGATTTTTGAATAAAGCCAAGTTTCACAAAGGATTTTCATTAATGATTTTAGATGATTTATATTAAATAGCGTAAACCAGTGTTTCCCAGTCTGGTCCTCAGGGACCCACAGACAGTCCATATTTTGCTATGGGGAGCTGGGAGGGAGGAAAAACATGGACCAGCTGTGGGTCCCCAAGGATCGGATTAAGAAACTCTGGTTTAAATGATCCAGGCTCTGTTTTTGCATTAGACCATTACAGGAAAAGCTGAATTTCTGACTCTGCCTTCTGGTAAAACTGTTCTTCTGTTTGTTCAGATGACACGCCTGGTGTTGCCCGGGATGGTGGAACGGTGAGTGGTGCCACTGGGATCTGGGGAGATTCCTCCTCTTTCACGGGGGAGTCACGGGAAGCCACTCCATGTTTACTCGTTAAACTGTATTAAATCCTTATCCCTGACCTGCTGCCTTTGTGAAAACCATAGGAATTAATAGGAATGTTCTGCATCGCAATCGTTTGGCTCCAAGCAGATATCAGGGTGCCTCATTTGATTTGTGGAGCCCACCCCCTCACCCCCTAAATCCCCATGTGACCTTTTTCCTCTTGAGTGAGTGTGCACGGAGAAGAGGGGCTTTTCCTTGGTCAGCACCCACCCCCCCACCCCAGCTAGCCCGAGCTTCGGGTATTCCGGTTCTCCTCTCTCCATCCTGCGGCTATGGGTGCACGGTGTGAGGAAACTGCTGCCATGGCAACACATGAGGCAGCCATGAATAGAGCCCGGCATGCTAGAGGGTGTGTGTGTGAGACAGAGAGTGTGCGAGGCAAAGTTAGATTAATGCATGCCGTACTGTGAGAGAAGGCAGGTATGTCTGCCTGTTCTCTGACCCCACCTACCCCACGTGTGGAGCATAAGTATCGCCCCCCCCCCCCTTTCCAGCAGTCCAAACCCAGTCGGCAAAGAGCTGAGTCTGGGTATGCTTCTGTTTCAGGTCCAGGGGTGTGGTGCTCAACATCTCATCAGCAAGTGGCATGTACCCCATTCCCCTACTCACCGTTTACTCTGCCACCAAGGCAAGTAACTCAACTGTCCTAGTGCCACAAAAACGGGTTCATACTCCATAGTTGCATTTTAACTGTATGTTCATTTTCAAGCTGATTTTATTACTTTTTTTTGCATATGTAATGATGAACTGCCTTGCTGATTCCTGTGCTGCTGGCCACTGGATTTTCACTGCACATGCCAGCCTTTACACTGCATTCTCCCTTCTCAGGCATTTGTGGACTTTTTCTCACGAGGGCTTCATGCGGAGTATAAGAACAGAGGGATCATCGTGCAGGTGAGTCTCCGCCGGTCCTGCTTTCGCAGGCGGGGCAGGGCCCCTTCGTCTTGGAGCAGCTCGGTCTTGTGCTGGTTTTGTGGAAAGCGTCATTTTTTTTTTAAGGTGCAGATCTTTGAATGACCCTCCATTGTTCCTCACTGCATGCACAGAGCGTGCTCCCATTCTTCGTGGCCACGAAGATGACCAAAATCAGGAAGCCCACTCTGGATAAGCCCACCCCAGAACGCTATGTAGCTGCAGAGCTGTCGACTGTGGGTCTCCAGAACCAGACCAATGGCTATTTTCCCCATGCTATCATGGTGAGTAACTGTATCCCCCTGGAAAATGGCCAGCCTTTAAAGCTTGTAGCTGGTGTCTGTCCTATACAGGAGCGAAGCTAAGGTTTTGTCTTGGTTCGGGGGGCATTATATTAATATCTTGTATAATAAAATTTTAGTGGCAGTAAATGCAGAAGACTTGATGGGGGTGGCAAAAATAGTTTGTTGGAGGGGCACAATGAGGCGCTATTTCCTCTGCTGTCCCTCCAACCTCTGTCTGTTTACATGCACCAGATTCATGTTTTCTCTCTCTCATTTGCTCATTTCTCATAGGTGAATATATAACTAGCTGATGTCACACTACTTACTGCCTTAACAGGAAGTTGTCGCGATCAGCAGGGGTGCCCTAGGTGTAGGGCCCAGGGTTGTTCACCCTGCTACCCCTTTCCAAATTCCGCCCCTGGTCCAATAGCTGGCCTCCATCCACCTGTGCTAAAGGCCTCCTTTTCTGCTTTGTGCCCCCAGGGCTGGGTCACCACGGCCCTGGTTCCCATCAGTGTGGTCATCCATCTTGGCATGCAGATGCACAAGGCCCAGCGTGCCAGATACCTGAGAAGGAGGAAGCAGCACTGAAACCTCGTCATTGGCTGGAGGGGGACGTGGGAGGAGTCTTCTGATGCTGCCCTCTGACTCCTGTGATTTGTAGTTCGTGCTCATTCCCATTGAGTCGCTGTCTACAGAGTGCTATGCGTCGGTATTCCGGGATACTGGGCTCTGTCTTTTTTCTGGGGTTCGGGTTTCTGTCTCCGTCTTGTTTACATTGGGTGGGGTCTGCGTGTCCGTGAGACGGTGAATGTTTGGTGACGTATCGATGACCTGTGACAAGTGAAATGTCTCACAAAACGCGTTTGACCCAAAGGTGGAATTTCTGTCAGTCTTAACTTTTTTTCATATATATACACAAAAGCAACTTATTTCAAAGAATGTGGTTTCAGCTACCCTTTTTTAAAGATTGATAGAATCAACATTGTACCTCTGTGGCTATTTTGTGACATAATACTGGAGTTTGTCTGACGTGTAAAAAAAAAAAAAAAAAAAAAATACTGTTCTAGATTTGTAGCTATTTTTTAAAATATATATATATATATATATATATATATATATTAGTGAGCAGGGGGTGGAGGCTCACTATCGAATTGCACTGTCCCAATTTCCTACATGAATTTTGCATTTTCCGTGTGACCCAATGAATGGCGGTGCTACTTTGATAGTATCTCTCACTCTACTGATGGAAAATTAAAGTGCCTTCGTGGTTGTTTAATATGTTGTTGTGCTTGTAGGGAAACTGGTCATGTTCAAAGAAGAGAGACTGGTATAATGTATCATTATATATTTAATATTTTACACTGCCAGGGTTTAAGTGTAGTAGTATTCAAGACCCCCCACATGACTACTCTACCTACATGTACTTTGCCAGATTTTGAGTGACTTGGATTAAGTCTGTTCAATTCAGTGGATGATGATCACTAATACTCCATACTGGAGTCATTTTCAGAATCTATTTCCCAGCTCTCTGAATGTGACTAGTATCCCAGAATCTGCTTTCCAAATAAATTATTTTATGCCAAAGCAAAAACACTATGCAGGGGAGATCTCTTAGCCTACAATGTAGCTGGTTGTCATAGCAGCCACCTGTATAACAATTGATGATTGCATGATATTGTCAATAAAATACGTTACTTGTGGAGAGTTTTGGTCTCTTTTTTTTGCACATTTCCTCACTGCCACGTGCTTAACTCGATATACCACCAGAAAAGTTTGGATAGGAACCATATATCAACATGATGGTTTCCCTCTCGGGGGGACTCATTTATATGTAACACCAACACGGCACCGAAGTAAATATACGAGGCTGTTGGTTCAGCCGAGAACAAATGAACGGCAGTTCACGTTAAAAGTATACTGTTTCGTGAAGGTAAATCAAAAATAGTTTATTTTATTATCTCACGGTCATGATCATCTGATGCAGGGTACTGTTATATTTTTTTCCATAAATAAATCTGCTCCTGTCACCAGCGAGGTAACGTTCTCTTTGGGCACCTATCTTCTGATCAAAGCTGTGATTCCCAAACTTGGGGCTATTAGTCATCTTGTTGTGGGGAGACGTGACCAAATGCAGGTAGTTTACCTCGGATGTAGTAGTATGCTGTTTTCGTTTTGAAATCATATGCTGAAAAACAGTTAGTCAATCATACAAATCACCTAGGTTAGCGATACTGTTAAATACGCATTTAAATATGTATTTGTTAACCTCACTAAACTAGATAGAATATATATTTTCAGCTCCTCCACCGCTGCTGTCGCGGACTCATTATACTCATTATACGCGGACTGCTGTACGGTCACGTCAACTGATGATGGCAGTAGAAGCAAAAAAGTACAATTGTAGCGCAGATTGGTGTCCGGGCAAAACACGAACTCAAATCAGACTCTGTAGCATGCTGTAATATCATTCATTCTGTTTAGCTACGTCCTTGTAACTTCTCACTACCCGCGACCTATTTTCAGGTCCTTTAATGCAAAATTGTCAGGGAAAAAATGGGGGATAAGCGACAACGAGCAAGAGTACAAGGCTCCTGGGCCAAATCTGCGCAGCTGCCGAAAGGTACCTATAAAACAGAGAGGAGATTAAGCTGGTGTTTTTTTTAAAAGCCTGCGTATAAGTATATGGAAGTCTCTCAGTGTTTGCCTAAGTGCTCTTACGTATATTTGCCTGTAGGCGGTGCTCGAGGAAGGGGGGAAGATTCAGTCCCGTGTCAGCCACGCGCTGCATGCTGGGGCACCGGACCGCAAGCGTTTGAGTTCCATCAGCCGGCTAAGGTAATAGGGGCAGTAGCCAGGGAATGAGACGTGGCATGGTGGGCTGGTTGATGCAATGCTGACAACTCTCACACTAATGCAAGAAATCTTACAGCAAATGTATATTATTCCATTATAAGCCTAAAGTTAGCTACATCCAAAGCACTGGGGTAGTTGGGAAATCCTACAAACTATTTAAGGATTATAGATCTGTTGCATACATGTAAATGTGTGTGCATACTTGTCTCAAATTGAAAATCTCACTCCAGCCTGCTGACCAAAGTCGGCAGCCCTGTTGATGCACTCTATGGCTTGTTCCCTTTGAGCCCATCCTCACACACCATCTACCCTCCTCTTTTTCTTACATACCTCCTCAGCCCTTGAGAGAAGTCCCAGTGGAGAAGGTGATAGAGTAAGTATCTTTCATGCATTTCATGGCACTTCTGAAGCTCGTGGGATCAGAATCGTCATGATCATTATTAGCCTTCTGTCGGGTGAAAGTCTAGCAGGCAGCTGGCCTCTCGTCTTGCTTGTGTCGTTATGGTTCTCCATCTTCCAGACATGCAGGTGAATATCAAATCAGCCAGGGGCCCACTGGTGTTTCAAGGTGAGTAGCAGGAGAGGAACCGAGTAGAAACAACCATTAATCTAGCTGCAGGATTAAATTGTGTTATACTTCATTTAATGAAAGGTAATGTTTATATACAATAACATGTGTGTATATGTGAACAGGCTGAGACTGGTTCCTGGGTTCCTGTCCCAGGAGGAGGCTGACTGGATGTTCAGCAAACTCCTCGCTGAACTACCTTGGTCACAGAAGACCAACTTCAAGCAGGGTGTGTGGCTGACTTTCTCTTTTTCTTTCGTCAGAGACGTTGCTAAATATTCTGCTGCCTTTGCCCTGATATGGAATGTGGCATAGCAAAATGGGAGCTGGTGCACACAGTAGGTCTTACTGCTTCAAACCAGTTCAGAGTGGCTTGAAACCTAGAGGTCATTAGAACTTTCCCAGCATGGGTTTTGATGTAATCTGATACAAAAACAGATTAAAAATGGTCCCTGTGTTGTACTATACAGCCAAAACAAACTATGCCACACGTTACTCATATTTACATCACAGAAGCGGATATTACTTGTCTTAATATGGCATTAGTGATGGGGGTGGGGGGAGCAGGAAATGGTAGAGATGGACAGGAAGCCTGTGTACTTCTACAGTGTTCCCAGTCCCAGAGTAGACCTGAAGTGCTTGCTGATTGTGAAGTTCTAGCAGATTTGTTTATCTTTATTAATATCGGTATAGGATATATTTTTAGCATATCCAAGGACAGAAAATATTTGTTCTTGATTGCAGATAGGAAAGTTTGGAACATTGAGGGTGACTTAGTTTATGAAATATTTAACCCCCCCCCCCCCCAAACCCACATCTGAAGATGTCAGGAAGAAAGGAGACTTAATGAAGATGCATGTTGCTCATTATGGATGATGATGTTAATTTGCTTGTGTGTAAAGCTCTATTAACAGACGATCTATGCCACCCACTGCATGTAAAACTCAGGTACACCTACAATAGGTCGACATTCTCTGCTTCTGTTGGGCCTTTTCACGGCCGGTTTGTAACATAAATACTGTAAAATCTTCACATTTGCGAGGATTAGGGGCAGAAGGTCCCTAACAATGTAAAAATCTGCAAATAATACGGTAAGCTTGTCGTGATGTTCTAGGTGGGGTCTTTTGGGGCAGATGTGTACGTCGAGTTTGTTTAAGGTTCCCGAGCGCTGCTGTCTGCCTGTGCAGGCTCAGGTCGGGCCTATGAGGAGCCTCGGTTGACGTGCTGGTTCGGCGAGCTGCCATATACCTACTCGAACTCCACGCTACAGCCCAGCTCACAGGTATGGCAGCTAGTCATGCTGCACCTCCTTAGGGTGACCAGCTCGGTCGGCCCATAACAAGAAGTAAGTTTCAGAGCTGAGGGCAGGGGAGCCACTAGAGATTTTGGGCCCCATGAAAGCACATTATATTGGACCACCAGCCCGGACCGATCCAGTTATGTTCCAAATGTTTTAGGGCCCGTCACTCAGGGGCCCTTGGAATCATCGTAACTCCACCCCCCCTACACCCTTTACAGAGTCCCGGGGCGAGGCAGTTGATCTTGCCAATCAGGGTGGAGGGAGAAAATTTCAGTGGGAGGGGGGGGCGGGGGAGTTAAACATGTAATTTTACTACCTGGTACCATGCCTGAGACAGAGATGGTGAAGCTCTTTTCCCAAAACCCTCCGCGCTCCAGTGGCACCCGGTGTTGATCCAGCTTCGGGAAGCTGTAGAACAGGCTTCAGGACGCTCCTTCAACTCTCTGCTCTGCAACCTGTACCGGGACGGGAAGGACAGCATCGCCTGGCACAGCGACAGCGAGGCCTCGCTCGGCCCGGAGCCCGTCATCGCTTCCCTCAGCCTGGGGGACACCCGCTGCTTCAGTCTGCGGAAGCAGCCCGGCCCGGTGAGGCTCCCCTCCGACTTTCCCTTTCCCTGCCTGGGGTGGTGGCTTTCATCCCCGTGTATGTGTGTAGAAGGGGAGGAGACCTTACGTGTTACGTGATTCGCGTCTGCTTGTGGCTCAGGAGGAAGATGGGGATTACACGTATGTGGAGAGGGTCCGGATCCCGCTGGCACACGGGACTCTGCTCCTCATGGAAGGTGCCACGCAGGAGGATTGGCAGGTACATCTCCGTTGCACTCGGGCCGTGAGTTTAAACCACCTGACCCCTAAACTGGCAAGAACCTCAGGTTTCTGTCTGTACAGCCCCTCCTCAGCTTGTGATGGGGCTACATTCCGATGAACCCATCGTGAGTATGAATATGATACGATAAACCACACAGAAACACTTTACGATACGTCGTTAAACTCTGTAGGAGATGTTTACGCTCGCCATCTCTACAGACTGGAAACGTGGCTGTGTGGACGCGCCATCGCCCGGCATCAGTAGAAAGCATCGTAGGACGTACCGCTAGCCTCTGAAACGCACCATCAAACTAGGGGAATTTCCCCTCTATCTCGTGGGGGGGCTTGCTGGTATTAAATTACACTTGACAGAGCACTCTGAGTTAAGATATGCTGAAATTAACCAGGGCTCATGTTTTTCTTTAGTATATTTTAGTTTGATTATCTAAGTTTCTTTACAGGGATAAATCTGATAATGAGTTGTTAGGTTTGATGGAAAAGTAAACGAGACACGGTTGGGGGGAGGGAACATGGCTGTAGACCTAAAGATAGTTTATGGGAATGACTGACAGAACCTTGAGATGATGTGACCTTGGGTGTGACCTCGAGCCACACAGGAAGCATCATGGTGACTGAGGAAATGTGACCAAGGTCCCACCGTTCCTTACAAGAAAGGCGCTTCACTGAACTACTTTGTTGAAATAAGTCTCTTTGTGTGAACGGTGACACATTGCTGTAAGTAATGGTGAAGCAGGGTTGAGCAGAGGCGAGATTGTTTTTCTCTAGAAGGTTACCTTTCGCCTTCCCCATGGGCGCTCAGGACGGGGGTGACTGACACGTGCTTCTAACACCAGCGTTACAAAACCATCCCGTGAGGCTGATCTTTATGCCTCGTTGGAGCGACAAGCTGCCGGGTTCCATGGTGAGCCGTGAGGGAGGTAAACACAGCGTTGCTGTGTCGGCTTGTTTATTGGAGCTGCGGCGTGGAGACGCTCAGGGACGACAGGCCTGCTGGTCCGACATTCGCTGGTTGTGGCCAACTTTGCCTTAAATGTGACATCGTTGTGTTTTTGGTTAAATGTCAACAGCTTGTCCGAGTCCTGATTCGTCCCCTTGGAAAACAGCCACCGTCTTGCGTCATGAACACACGTCCAAAGGTGTCTCTCCCTCATGAGGCCTGTCACAGTGGCTCCCCCTGCTGGTGTCACCCCAGAACGCCTTAGACTCCTCCTTGAGTTTAACGTGGACCTTTCATGTGTCTTTGTGGTAGATTTGTATGTTAACCATGCAATGATATTTTTGTGCCTTTAAGACTTTAACATGTTCAGTTCTACTTGTATGCAGCGAATTGTAAGTTTCTTTGGATAGAAGTTTCTTCTAAATCAATAATTATAAACGAATGACCCAAGCAGCCCTGCAGGCAGATGGCGAATTAGTGCAGATGGTAATATCAAAACAAAATATGTTCGCTCTGCCGGATCCACCCGTAAGTGCTAAATATATATATGTGTTTGGCAGCGATGCGTTTGGCCGCCTTGGGCTCCGGGTGCAAAAGGTGAGCCGGATGGCCGGGTGTGGAGTTGTGTGGTGGGATTCTTTTTGCCATAGCCTGCTCGTAGTGTCCCACAGTAGTATGTGACTGGTTTCCTAGGTTACCTGGCACTTGCATTGTAGTCATGGTGAGCACCGTGTCTTAATGTCATTACGGCACAATGGTGCCGCTGATATGATCTTGCCGCATGGTGTGAGTCGCCCGTCCGCGGAGCCAGAGCCGGCGTCCTGATTGGTGTCCCCAAGGCGTCACCGTCTCTCTTTGCACCTTCCTGTCACAGCATCAGGTGGCCAAAGAGTACCACGACCGGGGTCCCCGGATAAACCTGACCTTTCGCACCATCTACCCAGAACCGGCTCGGGCCAAACAAACCCAGAGCCACGGGCGCTGGGGAGAGCGACGGTGACCAGTGGATGGATGGGCAGGAAGATGGGATGGCAGTCTGGAGGAAGAGGATTATTGTCTTTGTGGGGTCGGGGGTGGCTGTGGGAATGTTGGACATGAATCGTGGAGCACAAGCCCCTGCTCAGCCTGGCACACGTAAGAAGCTTTTGGCTCCTTTCGAAGCTTCTGCTTTTTGAATTTTCTGTGCATTTTTAAAAAAATCTGACCTAATTTTGTGAGGCGGACCGACCTTCTTTGTGCTGGATTTTACTGCTCTACCAGGTGGCATGCAGTGCCTGTCCTTCAGATGTACATTCTGGTGCTCTCTGTTTTTGGCCAAACTTTAAATGGTGTAATGGGTGAAAATGTAAATGATTTTTCCAGAGAGTACCAGAGGTACGTGCCTTTAAGACTCCATAGCAAGAGCTTGTGGTCTGTAACATTTTTATGAAACACATTTAGTTTCGGTACAATTTTAAGTTTATTGCATTAATACAGATTTGAAAATAAATGTACTGTTGAATTTAATATCAAATGTGTATGTGACTCCTTTTGTTATTTGCCATAGAAAGAAGCCAAGGAAAAAAAAGCAGTGAAATCCATCCATGTGTCCCTGAAGGGATGTTTCGTTGTTAATTTGTTTTTCTTGTGCCCAGTGTGATGCAACGTTGTTTTCCTGCCGAACAGATGTTGGCTTGTAAGTAAATCTGAGTGAAACAAGGTTTTGCTTTTTCGTTTGGGGGAGGGGAGTGCTCTTGGCTGGGTGGGCACTGGTTTGAAGTCTTTCTGCGGTTCTTGTACGTAAGCAGGGCGGATGCACAGTCAGAGTGCTGCCTTCGGGAAACGTTTGCTGCACAACACTTGACGTACTTCCAGAGGATTAGGAAGATGTGGCTGACAGCCATTTTCCACCCACAGTTAAGAAGCAAGGTGACTGCTGAGTGTTACTGGTGTCACAAAAGCCTTTGCCAGTTAACGGCGGTCAAGGTGAAGTTCACCAGGATCCTCGTTAAAATTGTTTCGGTGCCTTTTTCGACCTGATGACCAAACCAATGTTTGTTTGTATCTCGCTTCACAGCGGCACACTGTGCCACCATGTGTGAAGCTGGATTAATTTAAGGCTTTAAGGATTGAGATTTTTTTTTTTTTTTACATTTATTTACCAGATGCTTTTGTACAAAGCGACATAACGGTGAGTATCAGAGAGTAGAGTCAGATTGCAGCTCTGGAGCAGCTAGGGTTAAGGATTCACAGGATTCAAACCCGTAATCTTCTGGACGTGGCCATAGATCCGTAACCTACTAAGCCGCATACTGCTTGGCTTCATTTACTGCTGTGGGTAGTTTTTGCATTAAACAAACACACAACCTAGTCTATTCATGCATATTTCTGCACAATATGACAAATATGTGAGCAGTCTGTACACTCCCCCCACCCCCCCCAGGCCCCTGACTTCCCCACAAACACATACCCACCCCCAGGAATGCCCTCCAGCCCCCCCCCCCCAGCTTACCAAACACCATCTATTAATAGGTGTTTCTAAGATATTGGTTACTGGTAACTGAAAGCTCAGCACTGGGGCCTCCCTGCCAGAGGCAGCTGAATCAGGGACACCCCACCTGCGACGAGGTCAGAGCTGAAAGGCTCAGCGTCAGGGGAAGCCCTGCGTCGTGTTGTCAGCAGCAAGCCTGAGGTCGCGCGTCACAAGTTCAGGCCAAAAGTAGGACGTTCACCCGGTTTCTGAGACAGCGGCATGTGTTTTCAGTGTCTGTTGTCAACACACATACAGTACCAGTCAAAAGCCTGGACATATCTATCGAAAAACATTGTTTATCAACAGCATAATGAGCATGAGCACACGTTGAGGTTATGTAGTAACTATTATCTTGTGAACAAGGAAAGAGATGGAGTGCTGCAACAGATTAACTGGCCCCCATAATCCCCCCACCTAAACCCTATAGAGCTGTTTTGGGATGAGTTGCATGGAAGAATACGTAGCCAAATTGTGCTCAGAACTTGTGGAAACCCCTTCGGGACTGTTGGAGAAGCATTCCAGGTGGCTACATCTGGAAGCTGGCTGAAAGAATGCCAGGTCTGTCATCAACGTAAAAGTGGGCTATTTAGAAGAGTCTAAAATTCAGGAATTTTGAGCTCTTGGTCATTGCAATTTTTGATATATATTGCTTGCTTTGAGGCCCTTTATAATAAAATGAATAAGACACTACATGCACAAAAGTATTGTGACACCAGGCCATTATACCTGCATTATACCTACCTATACTTTTATGATGTCCCATTCTAAATCCATAGACACCAATATGGAGCTGGTCCCCCCTTTGAAGTTTGACTGTGGGAATGTCTGCCCATTCATCCAGGAGGGCATTTGTGAGGTCAGGCACTGATGTTGGTCATGAAGGCCTGGCTCACTATCTCCATTCTGGTTCATCCCAAAAGTGTTCAGTGAGATTGAGGTCAGGGTTCTGTGCAGGCCAACACCAGACACTCCCAACCATGTGTTTATGTACCTTGCTTTGTGCACAGGGGCACATTCTTGCTGGAACAGAAAGGACCTTCTTCTAACTGTTCCCAGAAAATTGGAAGGATAGAATTGTCCAAAATGCCTTGGTACGATGAAGCATTAACAGTTCCCTTCACTGGAACTAAGGGGCCTGGCCCAACCCCTGAAAAACAGCCCCATACCATTATCCCTCCTCCACCAAACTTTACAGTTGGCGCTTTTAGACTGGTAATGTTCTCCTGGCATCAGCCAAACCCAGACTCCTCCATCAGACTGCCAGACAGAGAAGCATGATTTGTCACTCCTCAGAACGCGTTTCCACTGCTCCAGAGTCCAGTGGCGGTGTGCTTTACACCACTCCATCTGACGCTTGGCATTGCGCTTGCTGATGTGAGGCTTGCATGCAGCTGCTCATTTCATGAAGCTCCCAGTACGCAGATTTGTGCTGAAGTTAATGCCAGTGGAAGTTTGGAACTCTGCAGTTATGGAGTCAACAGAGCGTTGGCGACTCTTACGCACTATGTGTCTCAGCACACGGCGACCCCACTCTGTTACTTTAAGTGGTCTTCCACTTCACAGCTGAGTTTCCATTGTTCCTAAACGCTTCCACTTTTCAGTAATACCACTTATAGTGGACCATGGAATATCTAGCTTGAAAGGAATTTCACAAACTGACTTATTGCAAGGGTAGCATCCTTAGTACCACGGCTGAATTCAGAGCAGCCAATTCTTTCACAAATGTTTGTAAACCTGACATCCTGGCATGGCTAGGTGCTTGATTTTATACACTTGTGGCAATAGGTCCGAATGAAACACCTGTATTCAACAATTTAGAGATGTGTCCCAATACTTTTTTCTGTGTGGTGCAGCTAAAATAGGAACACATACAATAAAAGCAGGGGTGTCCTGACTTTATGCAGTAGGTATGCAGTGTGGCTTCATGACACTAGTCACATGACACTAGTCACATGGCTCCAGGGTTGGGGGTTCGATGCCTTGCCCTCAGTTTTCTGTACATCGTGTTCATGTTCTGTATTTTTTAATGACCCCCCCCGTCATCAGAAATCCTCACAAGTCTCTGTTGACCAAAGGTTCCTGTTATATTTCCCTTGTGGTTTCATAATGTGATCCGAAAGCCTTTAAACATGAACGCAGAGGCCCTCCAGAGCTTTAGTCTTTCATCCCTTCCAGAGTAACCCAAACAGATGCCCTCAGCTGTTTGTATTTGAGTAACGGCGGTTTGGGCCGGCCGGCTGGTGCTGTCCTGACCCGAAAACACACCGGCAATGAAAAAGGCCCTGTTCTGGTGATCTGGAATGCTGAGACCTGGGTTCTGGGATGGATTCAGGGCATGCTGACTTCGCACTGCAATTAGAATCCCACTGCACTGAAGGCCAGAGAGTGAGTGGGCGTGGTCTGTGGAGATACTTAATGATGTTATGTAAGCGGATAGGCCGACCCTGATAGGATTACCCTAATGAAGCCTCGCAGGTCATCCTCGGCTCTGTGTGCCTGGCAGTGGATGTTGACATCCTGTACACTGTGCACCCCCGAAACTGGACGTCAGGCTCCTATGACTGTGGCATAATTGGTTTCTTCTTGCCTTCTACTGCTGAATTACTGTCGTCTGCTCATTCTGTGACAGTCTTTCCCCCATGTTCTAGCATCCTTGTGCTTTCTGTCCTTATTTATGTCCAAAAGTATTTGCCGTTTTCCTTTTTTTTTAATGGCTGGAGAAGGTTAAATGGCATGTTTTCCTGGATTATGAATCAACAGCATTCAAATTTCAAGTCTGTGTCCTCAATCACTGTGCTACCACCTCTGCCGTCTTGGAATAATGCATCATCTGACCTGACTTTTGACACAATTGACTAATACAGCTCTGGTTCCTTGGCACTTTTGTTAATGTGTTGGTGTCAACATGTGTTTCAAGTTTTTTCAGTGTTATTAATCACTGGAAATGAGCAGGAAGTACCCCAGAAACAGAAAAATGTGGACAAATGACTCCCACAACGAAGACCATCTCGCCCTCCATTGGTTTGTTCTTTCCACCTTTTGACCTTTGTGTTAGTGTGCATATGTGTGGCAGTGTGACTGTCTGTGTGTGTGTTTTGGTGCAGAGGTGTCAGGGTCATCTTCAGACTAGCTATGTGAAATGTAACAACTGTGTCCACATTACTCACTCATTATGCTGGACGCTGGTAGCTTCTTCCCATAACAGATTCTTTAGATAACATTTTAGGTAACTATTTAAACTATAGCCATTTTCATCCTTAAATATTTTAACTAGATCAGGGCCTCTCTAGGGATCTTTTGGGTTGTGTGTGTGCGCGTGTCTTTGTCTGTGTGTGGTTTTTGTATGTATTACATTATCCAGTGTCCCAACAATGTAATAAAAACTTGATTCTTTTTACCTGTTTTACATTTTTTGCCCCCCACAAGGAGAATTTTATAGAAAGCTGTGACTGCAATAAAATAACTAAAAATGCCAAAAGTCTTACGGTTAAGGTTAGGGCTGGGTAGGGATTAAGGTTGTTATTGTTGGGATTAGGCTTTTGCCCATAAAAATGAATGGTGAGTCCCCACAAAGATATCAATATATGGACTCTGTGTGCGTGTGTCTAGAGCAGGTCGCTCCAACCTCTTCAGGAACACATCACTTCAGGATCCTTTTGCTTAACCTTCAGTCAGGGCACAGTACAGGACAATTTCCCATAGCTCCCCCTGCTGGGTGGGAAGACCTTGGCAGGCATCATTCACCTCAAGGACTTTAAAGTTACCCCTGCTTCATTTCTTCCATGATTTGATGTCTGGATAGAAGGCTAGTTTCGTACTCTTAGGAAGTCAAGGTTTTGAGAATGAGTCATTGACATGCCCAGTAATATTAGCATAACATTAGCATACCTTATTCATTTACGTTGCCTGTTTTTATTTTCAATGGCCACGTAAGCTAATGTGAGTTGTTTTCAATTTTTAAATAACACTTTTCTCCCTGTGTTCAGTGTGTCACAGAGGTCAAAGCTTGATATACCAAAGTAAATTGTCAACAGTTTTGCCTTTATATGCAATTAAGATTATACAGTCCAAATATAATCTACACCAATCCCAGGTTCCCTAATTATTTGCTACAATAGCTCTATCTTAAGGCCATAACAATTCTTACCAATTAATTTACAGTATATTATAATGGTTTGGAAACTACGTTGTGTTCTCACGTTGCCATGGACTTGTGACTGATGTGTGAGCTGTGAAATATAAAGCAAATAAAGATGAGGTTTATATATATGGACGCTGGGTGTTCTCGGTGCTGTGGGAATGGCTTCCTTGCCAGAACGACTGGCTGTCAGTTTTTAGCCATGGGTCCCTGGGGAAACTTTGTTTTTATTCCCTAATGTGCATCTGATAACACAGAGCATGCCCCCCCCCACCCTGTTCTGGAAGGGACCACAGCTTCACGCCTGACACTTCCAAGGTTGCCATGACGATTGGCCGGCCCAATACCCCCGGGGGAGAAAGAATATCACAAGGCCCAGATTCCACCACTGCGAGGCTCAGATGCAAGTCACTGGTGGCCCTTTGAGCCGACGTGACCCTCGGTTCTGCCGAAAATAGGCCGCCTGCCCGTTTGCAACCTGTGCTGCCTCGCTGGGATGTCGGGCCATTTTTTTCCCAGCCATAATTTAGGACGACAGCATCACGACCCTTACAATCTGTTACTGTCATTATGTGAAAATACGGCTTGCCAAGAAGCTGTACATTCATAAAAATATTATCTTTCTTAGACCATTTACATGTGATATAAACGAAAAAGAATTTTACCTGAAGAAATACAGCCATGAAAGGGGTCTGGGCTCGTCTTCCAGCTGGGGAATCGTGCGATGTCTCTCCCCTACTGACTGCGGTGGCTCCGTCACTGTGGACACTGTCTAATGCAGATCCTCACCAAACCGTGTTTCTCTTAATGCCTGGATCCGGGTCGGCGTTGACATTTGTCCTGATAAAAATAGAACGTTTTCCTTACTATAGCTGTATCTGGAGGTCGCAGCAGGGTGAGTTTCCCTTGACTGGGTCCCACATGTCATTCCTGTATGCTGGCTGACATACATCAGCATAGCCTTGGGGGGTGTAACAGCGACAAGCCCATCCTCATTTCTCCACCTTCACCTTGCTGTATGTACCTCATATTTCCCACTTGCTTGTCAGTTTCAAAGTATTTAATGGAACAAACACCAAATACGTCATTCTTAGCTCAGAAAAAATGAGACTTGGAATGACACTTATCCAAGTTTAAACCACCTATTTTTTAAGATCCACTTTAAGCATATATGGAACTTTAACGGATGGTTTCAAAGTAGGACAGTCCAGAGAAGTACTAGAGTGAGGTTTATCTGAACAGTTAGGATTTTCTTTGCGTTATGACGGTTTCATGCTTCTATGTCGGTGAGATACACCCCGAAGTCACGCGACATTTTTCCTTTCCTCTGGCCCCCCACCTTGTTCTGGTGCATAATCAAACATAAATCAATCTGCGAATCGAGTAGAGGGAGGCATTTCCTGTTCTCATGCCTCCCATCGAGCTCCAGGTTTGAAGCGCATCTAAATTGAAACTGGGAACTCTGGTCTCCAACTATTTTTACCTGTGGGCCAAATTCCATTGGCAGCACAAAGCCAAGGTTCATTACGTGTGGACGAAATGGCAACTGAGGGTGGGGGGGGGGGGTGATCTCTGATAATATGATTTCCCGACCACAGGGGAGGCTGGAGGCTGCCTATTTGACGACCATTGCTTTAGAACTTCAAAGGAGTTTCTCCCGCTAAGGCTGGGTACCTGTGTGCCTTGCATGGTCCTCTGAACCCTTCGGTGAAGGAGGTCATTTGCATTTCCTGTCCACCGCCTGGGAAAGCACACACAAGCAGAGAAACATGGTTGATATAAAACCCTCGGAATGGGGTGGCTCAAACTCTGCTTTTAGGTATTGCTTATATATTACAGCAAGGTCACAGCACTGGGCCCGTGCGTCAGGGTCGAAGCCTGGAGCTGTAGGCTTGCCTTCTGACCTCAGGCCCTATTTTCACACTGTGGCGACTCAGGCCCCCCCCCTCACCATAGAGCGGGAAAAGGAGAGTGCGGCCAGGACTCATCATGTGATGTCATCCGACACGGGGGCCTCAACGGGGAGTCAACCTCAGAGGCCCCGAAATAAAGCAGACAGTTTTCAGAAAGGCACGTCTTTGCACCTCTGCTGTGACTGTTTGGCAACAACCCCCCCCCCCCCGCCCCCACTGGGACGAGGCTTCCTGGGAGTACATCGATCCTCCCCCACACCCCCTGATCATGACCGTTTACAGATAGGTTAATTATAGCTGCAGTAACACTGAAAACAGAACTGGGCTGTCGCGTGGAGTGGGCATTGGGGGATGGGGTGTAGGGTGGGGCAGCTACACAAACTTTCTAGGACAGTACATTAACCAAACTGTCTGTCATTAATGCTACAGCCCACCCACCCCTGTCACTCTCTCCACTGCCCCCTGCTGTCCAGTCTGTGTGTATACTCATAGGGGAGTGTCCATACTCCGCTAGTGTTTGTGCTGTATCTCAGTGGACACGTGTGCAGGACACCCTGCCGGCGTCTGTGCATGTGCACTCTCCTCTCTCCCTGTCCCCTCCTACTCCCTGGCAGCCCAAACACACCCCCCCCCCCATCACCCATTTATTTGAGGGGGCTGATTCCGGAGCTTTGGTATGGCAATCGGAACTGACTACGCCAAGAAGGGAGGGGCTTCAGGGGCGAGCCGGGGAGAGAGAGGAGGGTCGAGCGGGTGGCTGGGAGCTTTATAAACTAGCGGTGGATGCATCTGCTTCAGACCGACTTGCCAGAGAGACGGCGATTCTGAGCCGGGAGCAGCAGAGCGAACAGAGAGGCTGAGAGCGGCAGGGAGGACACGGCGGCGGAGAGGCTAACGGGACCAGCCGGACAGACGGAGAGTGCGGGATCCCCGGTGACACGCTTTTGTTGATTTAGCGACCGCAGACGTCTCGAGTCACAGCCACGGGTACCTCAGAGAGAGCGGCAGTGAGCGGCGAGCAGGCGGTCCAGGTCCCGCGCATGGCGTCGCGTCCCGCAGAGGGTGCCGGCAGCTTCCACGCTCTGCACGCGCACACCATGGCCTCCACCATGGAGGAGTTCCCCCAGCAGCTCCCCGTGCCCAAGGGCCCGGCCCGGGGCCGCAGTCGGGCCCGTTCACGCCGGCCGCGTGAGGCGCGTTTCAAGACGCAGCCGGTCACCTTCGCCGAAATCGCTGAGGTCGAGGAGGAGGGCGTGTCCCCACTGGAGGAGGAGCGTGCCAAGCGCTCCTTCCTGCAGTCACTGGAGAACCTGCGCAGGAGCACGCAGGCCCTCCACGGCCCCTCCTGCCGCTACACCCTGGCCGCCACGCCTGTGCGGCCCAGCCTGGACTCCAGCGAGCCGGAATTCGCCCAGTGAGGCCCCCCCCAGCACTGACGTGCCACCCACCGCTTCACACTGAAGCATGACCAACCGGACTCTCAGTGCGTAGATGCCACTGGCCCAGTTTCTACCCTCATATACATGAAGTTATTTGTATTTGTAGCACTTGACGCGTTTGGCGATTCCAGTAATGTACGACTGGCTGGTAAAATTTAAAGCTGCTTAGCAAAATAGCATATAGCATGTGACATGTGACGCCATGGCGATGACAGTACCACTTCCATTGTTTATATTTGACTTTCTTTTTTACTGAATAAAGCCTTGGACCTTGGTGGATCTATATAAGTGTATTTTAAAGAAGGGTTGGGATTTTTTTTTTATTTCTTTAGAAAGAAAATATTCACATTGTGCCTGAATGTGTTCTGCATGATCGGATCTTTACAAGGTACTTAGAAGCCCAGTTTGAGATGTTTTGTCAGGTTATTGACTGTACTTCGGAATACATTTATACGTTGAAGGGATGCAGACATGTTGGTTGTGTGACAGGTTGATCAGATGGGCTACGTGCAGGAACTGTTTCTCCTGAAATAAGCCAAACAGCTCAAACTTGTATATTCCAGCACAAAGCAGAGTAATTGATATCAATACCTATTATCAATGTGTAAAAACAAGATATTTATTTGATGAATTTTTATTTTACATTTTGCCAGCTTTGTTGACATTGCATACTTTAACATGTAAATTTTTAGTTTTAAAAGAGAAGCCTTTCTACTGATGATATTTTTCTTAATTACTGTAATAAATATTTGTAAATATGACTTTGTCCTTTGTCCATGTTTACTGTCGTGCGCTGAAGCGATCTTGTCCAGACTCACATAAACACTTCAAGCAGGTGACGGATTGCCCCTGGCTGGGCGTGGCATGTTTTGCACGCCTGAGACATCCCCGTTACAGTAGCGCAGTGCAGGAATGTCAGCTGGGAGAGCTCTGGAGCACTGCATAATTGCTGGAGTGGACACAGCTCCTCCCAAGCGCACTGCTTTGGTCCTGTGAAGCTAGCTGGGGTTGGTCTGAGCTGTTTTATTGTACCAGCTTATGCGCTAAGAATAATCTGCGACCTCAGTTATAAATCAGTAGGAAACGTTGCTGTCTGCAACAAGATCTTTGGGCCTTGGAGGATAGAGCCATACTCAGGTCAGGGTTTAGGGGTAAGGTTGGCATTTGGGGTCTGCAGTCGCCTTACTCTTTGAAGACAAAAACCATTTAAAGCTAACATCGGCCTTCTGTGGGCAGATTCAGCACAGCCAATAGGAAGATGGCAGCCATGTCTCATTAGGGCTGTTGGTGTACCCCCCCCCCCATGCACCCCCATTCCGATGAAGGGGGGGGGTGCAGGATGCTTGGGCGGGCTCCAGCCTTCTCCAAACGCTGGACGTGCCTCACGCGGCAAACTTGGAACACACTTCGCTTCAGGCGTCCTGTGTGGAAGGGGGAACGGCCCAACTGGCACCAGTTACGGAGCGTCCCATAGGGACGCCGCGCACGGCTGCACACGGAGACGCTTTGGTGTTTCACGTGCTGCGTCCCAAGGCATCCTGCGTGTTGCATTAAATGGTTCGCGAGTGCTTCTTATTAAGCTGCCTGTCCTTTGGGCCACAGTTACAAGTTTATGGTAGTAATCAGGAAGTTTCTTTCCCCTCATTGTACTTCTCCTATTCGTAGGGCTTTTCTGTTGCCCTGGCAACTGAAGATCCATTATGATGTGCCGTTAGCCACCATAAAAAGCTTAGGTCAGTTCTCTTGGTGTAGACAGCCTGCCACATTCGATTTCATTTCTTTTTACTCCCAAATGTTTCTCTCTGTACTGCTGAGCTGTCATTTATCTGTTCATGCAGCTGTCAATAGACTCTCCTTCCTGCAAATATGCTATTTTACAATGTCCTGTTGTTTACCCCTTTGTAACAGAGTTAGAAAAGTAGGTCGAGAACTGCTATCATGTGCTCTGAGTCTTATTGCATCGCAGCCAGACGTTTTTATTCAAGCTTCTGTAAGAACATAATTATCTGTGAAGTAACCGTCTGTTGTTTACACTCAGAGACCCTGTTTTAATGACTCATATGATGTGACACAGTCTCATTATCCGAACCTGGTAAGTGACACGTCTTAAAGGCTCCGGCTCCGCCTGTCCGCCGGCAAGTCCCGCGGCGTGTGTAGGTTGGTGCGGGTGACGGCCCGCCAATCAGGAGGACGTATGACTGACAAGAAGCGTGTTCTCGCCAGGCAGACTAAATGACACGGTCTCAGGTTGGCAGGCACGCCTAGGAGCCTGCCAGTGAATGGGGGACACATATGCTTGTGCTGGTGATATTTTTATGCTGTGTTTTACAAGTAGTCTCACGTCTCCCTGGCTGAAGAAGCCAGAATTCCCTGCCAGAGAGTGGAGGGCTGCAGGGCAGAAAAGTGGGTTAAGGAGACCCTGAGTCACGCTTGCTTGGGAAATGTAGGTTGTTGCTATGGTAGCCAAGATACACCCCAATAGGTGATGTGGAACAAAAATCCAGTTCAGCCCAGTGTGATGCATATTTTGGATATAACGGGAGCCCCCACTGGACCACGACAATGGCTAGGGAGGGTTAGATCCGTCTTGTGTTAGTTTACTGGTGAGTAATTGTAGGATGTTTTTAGTGTGTCGGGGCGCGTGGCCGGGGGGGGGCTAGCTCAAAGGCTGCAGATTTGGAGCCAAAAGACACATTGGTAACCTGTACTGAGAGGCCTAGTGGATGAGTGACTGTATGACTAAGGGGGAATAAATGAGGTTCTAGAGAGGGGGAGCACTCTTTCTAGCCAATCACCAAGCCGATTTCTGGAAAGCATTTGAATGAAATATGGCGAATGCCTGTTGGTCTGCTTTAGTTGCCCATCTACCTGTGCAGGATTAGATCAGAGCTAATTGTGCTCTGTCAGTGAAGAGCTCAGTCACAAATAGCAGATCATCTAGGTCTTTGTATGGACTGTGACCTGAACCAGCACAGAAGATGAGTGATTTCGGAAGTACTTCGGATTAGCTGTGTCCTTCTTCGGCAACTTTCCTCTGGATTTTGTAATGCCAGTGAGATTTAAAAATAACATGTGAGCATGCATTTTGTAAACTAAAACACTAAAATGCTTCTATTTTTGCCCTTACGCCTAGAAGAGCTGGGCCGGTATGCATAAAACTTCTCAGAGTGAAATTTCACTCTTAAATGCGTCACAATTCTAAGAGTGACGTGATTTTGCTCCTACTCCCAGACTTAAGAATAAGTGGCATGCATAAACATTCTTAAGTGTTAAGACTTGGTCTCAGCTCCTAAATTATTTAAGAGAGCTGGAGAGGACTCCTAAGCCAGTTAGGAGTTGAATGATGGCAGCTGCACTACGCGCACCCAGACGGAGGCCGCGCAGTTTCCGTCAAAGAAAGGACGTCCTGCAGACGTACGACAATAATGAATTGATAAAAAGGTACAGGCTCAATCATGAGGGCATTCTTTTTGTTACCAACCTAATTAGGAACCGGATACAATCTCCTACGTCACCTAAAAATGCACTTACAGTTGAACTGAAGGTGATAATGATGCTACGTTTTTGGCAACTGGAAAAATATAATAATAATAATAATAATTCTCATTATCATTATTATTATTATTATGATCATCATCATCATCATCTATTATAGCGAGGGTCATAAGAGCAATATAAGTAATGACACAAACCTGTAGCTTGCATGCTTGCTTTATAAACTGTGATTTCCTTTCGCGAGGTCGATAGAACATTATACCACCTTTTTTCACATTCCTCTGCTGAACGCCTTGTCCGAGGTGACGCAGCATTTACGGAGCTTGCAATAGCCTCCTAAGCTTTTTTTGTCCGTGCTTGTAACAGCTGGGCCAAACTTTCCTCGCACTACCTCCTTCCATTTAAGCACCAACTGTGCCAAAAGAACCGTTTTGTTTGTCTTCCAGTTTGGTTTTCTTTTAGAATCCAATGTCTTGCTATGAGTTTTGCGTTTGACCCACAATTTATACAACATGTGCATCTATTAGTGGAAATTGATTGGTGGTGTGCTAGGTAGATTTCAGTACAACCAATTAAAGGTATGATCACAGAAAGGTATATTGTATAAAGCTCTACATTAACGGTTTAATGTCACTAATATATTCACCGTGCAGCTCCTCTATTGGTTGAACTTAGTATTTGGGGCGGGATTTTGTTTGTAGTCCTCATTTCATGACACTTAAATGCTGGCTCCGTCAGCACTTAGGAATTAGACTTAGACTTTGCTGAAAGTTACTTTTAGCAGCTTTATACGATGCTCTTAGGTCCTACTTTTTGCTAAGATTTTTTTAACTCTTAAGTCCAAGGGTACGACCATTCTTAAGACCATTCTTAGGAAGTTTTATGCATACCGGCCCTGGCATATATGTATGATGGCGACCATAACTCTGACCTTTGACCTGGCTGGGAATGGAAAGCAGATTTCATGAAGTCACGTGAGGACCAGCCTTTGTGAAACAGGAGAGGGTGCCAGTGAACGTGACTGGACAGCTTCCAGCTCACCAAGGCTGTCTGGGACGTAGAGAGATAGCCCTTTGCGTGGAAGAGGTCTCTGCTTCCCGGCACTGAAGTTCCAGCCCCAGACGTGACGCACAAGCCATCTATGGTCACCCATGGGTAGTTACTGGTGGACGTGGGATGAATGTATGACTGAAACTAGACTCAAGTTGGGGATTTTCCTTTGATAAGGTGTTGACCTTTCATGAGGACCACCTACAAGTACTGAGTCATACAAACCTACAGTGTGTGATTACAGCCAGGTTGTAACATGTGCCTGTGTTATCGATTACGGTTTTACAGTTTGTGCGGCTGAGTAGATACGTGTATGAGCAGGCGGATAGTAACACAGGAGCACTGCAGGGGACGGAACTCTCACCTTTCCTCTTCGCTCTGTACGCCTCAGACTTCCAGTATAACTCAGAGTCCTGTCATCTGTAGAAATCTTCAGATGAATCTACAGTTGTGGGGTATTTCAGTGGTGGACAGGAGACTGAGTACAGGGAACTGGTGGACCACGTGGTGGCATGGTGTGGGAACAACCACCATCTCTTGTATGTGACCAAGATGAAGGAGATGGTTGTGGATTTTAGGAGAACCAGGATTAAGCTGAACACTGTTACCATCCTGGGAGATGGTGGAGGTGGCAGAGGCTTATAGATACCTGGGGGTTCACCTGGATGAGCAGCAGCAGTGAGGTTGGCTGAAGTCCTTCAATGTGTGCAGAAAGATGTTGCATATCTTCTACCAGTCTGTCGTGGCAAGTGCTGTTTTCTTTGCATCCATCTGCTGGGGCAGCAGCATCAGAACAGGTGACTCTAAGAGCCGGAATAAACTGAATTTGAAGGCTGGAACCCCTGGAAGCCCTGGAGTTGATGGTGGAGAAAAGGATGTTACATAAGCTGCTCAGCATTATGGTCAATGCACCACACAGTGACTCCTTCAGTTCCACTGCAATAAAAATCATTACTGGAGGTCATTCCTGCCCATGACAATAACCATCTAAAACAAATCTGAAAGAGGACTCTTCTCCTCTGAGGCAATAGACAATGCACAAATTTACATTTATTATGCACACTAAAGGTATTTTTGCATATTTGTACATATATTTTTGCATTGCAGAGTTACGTCTATGCTTATGCCTACCTCGTGTCTGTGTCTTTCTGTCATTTACGTTAACGGCTACTGCAACACAAAAATTTTCCCCTTGGGGATAAGTAAAGTAATCTGAGTCTGAATCTGAAGTACCATCATAGTAAGTTTCACTGTGAAGCAAAAAATCTACTATTCACCAGCAGGGGGTAATCAGCACACACAGGTTTACTGCTACTGTGGTCTTCTCACCTTCAGTCGCAAGCAATGCCAATTGGGTACGGCTGGTGGCTCATAATTCTCCGAAGTAGGGGACAGGACAGAACATGCTGGGAGGAACATAGAGAGAAAGGGAAAGAGCAGGACAGCATGTGAATGTCGTCCCTGCAGGTGGGAATACTGGGGGACAGGACGACCAGGCTGATGGAACTGCCACTTCGCTTAAACAACCTCAAGGGTTATTCTCCTGGCTCATGGTTTTACTTACACTAAAATGTTCTGAGGGCAGAAGGAAAAAATATTGGTTCAGAGAGATAACCAATCAGATTGTAGAGGAGGTGGGTCCAGGACATCTGATTGGTTGGTTTCACCTCCTCTAGTTGCTTGGGGCCACCTACTTTACAATCTGATTGGCTATCTCCCTGAACCAATCATTTTTCCTTCTGCCCTCAGAACATTTTTGTTTATGTAAAACTCCCATGAACTTTGTCCTGCACCATTATTGGCTGTTCCTCCTTGATGAATGAAACATGAAACATGAAATATATGACACTATGACAGGCTGCAGGAGAGGTAGGCACTCCTGATGATGAAGTTCTGGCACCCAGCAGGTTTTGTATCCTACCTGATGAGTTTCTATTTGCCTGAGATCAGGTGAGGTTCAGAGACCATGGAGGACAGAAAACCTGCTGGATACCGGCACTGCCTACCCCTGGGGTATAGTTCATTAACTAAGCTAATACTCAAAGCAGTAGTGGGAAATTCCAAGATGCTCTACTGACCATGATAGAGTGATAGCAACAATGTAGGCAGAGACAAAGGAAACAGGGAGAATATTGTATTCCTGTGAATACATGCATTGTCTGTGTTATACCTTAGTCTGCTTTCTTATGACAGTTTTCACTGAGATTAATGGTCAGTATAAGGCATACAGGTGAAGTCTGTTATAAAAAGCAAGGAAATGGCAAGCGAAAAGATCAATTTTTCCATTGTTTAAACTCAATTCTTTATGGACGGAAACAAAAATACAGCAGTCATTTCCTTTGTACTGACAACTCAGATGAGGTGAATCAGGCCATTAAAAAAATCTGCTTCTTTTTATCTTTGAGTCTGTAAGTAGTTGTAAATCATTCTTGTGGAGAGAGGTGTAGATGGTCAAACACAGCCAAAACCAGTCTGCGAGGGCTTGGAGTGCTTGAAATGGTTGAAGTGCTTGGGGTGCTCAAAATGCTCAGAGTGCTGGGGGTGCTCGGAGTGCTCCGAGTGCTGGGGGTGCTCGGGGTGCTCGGAGTGCTCGGGGTGCTCGGAGTGCTGGGGGTGCTCGGAGTGCTCGGGGTGCTCGGAGTGCTGGGGGTGCTC